GGTTCTCCACTGGGAGCACAGCCCTTCTGACACTCTGGGTATTGCAGAAGGCTGCAGTGTTGGGGAGCCTTCATATTCTCCCGAAAGTTCTTGGTGGGTTCGACTAGGCAGTGTTTCCTGGGAGAAGTCCATTCGCTGTCTGGGCTGCGTGTAGAGGGGGCAAGGGCCCTGAGCTGATGATGAGCCTTACCAGCCTGACTGTGCCAGGATCACCCGAACCCTCTCTGCTGCAATTTTCATCTTTAATCTGTAAAACATGATGATAATAATAATGATGATCAGACACTCTGTTCAGCTTACCAACTACCAATGTAATAGAAATACTAATTGTTTATGCAGTTGAGACTTGGAATGAATGCGAATATTGTTCGCTGCTGGAGTGTTACATCATAAGGGTCAGTTCACAATACCATTGTAGAGCGAAGCCATGGTATGGTGCACCTTACTGTCTAGAGTGAGTGAGTATGGTTTTACGCCGCTTTTAGCAATATTCCAGCAATATAACAACGGGGGACACCAGAAATGGGCTTCACACTTTGTACCCATGTGGGGAATCGAACCCGGGTCTTCGGCTTGACGAGCGAACGATTTAACCACGAGGCTACCCCACCGCCTCTACTGTCTAGATACATATTGCACCGCGACAAGGTGTAATATGCATGTAGTGTAATGTTACCAACATATCCGTTTGTGTCTACAGTGTGTCAGTATGCCTCACACTGTTTTTATATGGTTGACACATCAGGGCTAATGATGATATGTGTGATGAAGCTGTGCTTCTCATTACTCTCTGCGAGCTCTGTCATGGAGGTTAGGCGCACAGTCAGCACTTTGCTTTAATCTGGGTAATCGGTTTAGCGCACATCCTAATGACATCTTGTAATGGCATCTACAGGGAATAGCTGGTTTGATGGTTGACGCGATACAATATGTTAGCCAAAGCTATGTAAGTAAGCAGTATTTTATGCACCGTCTCTGAAGATGACACATACATACACATGGTCGCACTCAGAACACGCACACACACACACACACACACACACACGTGCACACACATTCTGTGTTTCATCCGGTATAGATAACCAAAATATCCGACAGAGTAGTAATGAGTGAGTGAGTATGGTTTTACGCCGTTTTTAGCAATATTCCAGCAATATCACAGCGGGGGACACCACAAATGGGCTTCACACATTGTACCCGTGTGGGTGATGCCCGAGTAGTGATGAAGGACTACACATATGGACCATATATAGAGAGAGAATCTTACCCAGGTGTCTACTGATATTTATTATATCAACACGTGTTGATAAAGTTACATATATCCAAGGCTTGCCGAGGATATTTTTTACTTTTATCAACGAGTCTTGATATATTTGATTTCAGAAGACACGAGGGTGAGTACTATTTATCATCAAAAATCTCTCTGTATTAGTATTCAATGAAAAATGTACATCTCTGAACACGGCACTGCCATTAGACTTGCAGTGCAGAAATGTCACATCATTGTGACGTCATAGCACTGTCAGGGCGTTGCTCAAATTCTACAGCCAAAACGATATCTCCAAGCAGCAACATCTGCTGTGGACCACAGTTTTGGATGATAAAACGAAATATATACATTAGTCAACATGTTAAACGCTGCAGTCGGATATATTCCAATTATATCTTGGCGACCATACATGCATATAATAGACAAAACTAGTAATTGATATAAACAGCAGCGACAGACGCCGGAAGAACACAGACGCCTCCGAGGTGGTCCGTGGTCCGTGGTCCGTGGATAGAGCGTCGACCCAGAGAGCTGTTGGTTCAATCACCTTGCCTCGACTTAGTTATAGGGTATTTCTTTAATCTTCGACACCAAGAGATTACAAGGACAGGTGTGTTGGAATCAGTAAAATGTTTCTGAGCGTTTCAACTTCTTCAGTGTGACCAATACAATCAGCCACGTACACCTGGGTCACGTACCATCTTGAGCATCTGGTTGCATGACGTTAAACCTGGCCTTAGTCGAGGCATCCGGCGTTACCGTTTTCACCATTATGCTACCGCAACGCCTCCGCCCGATATGGCATGACGCTTGGACACATACGTTTGGTCATTTCGTGGCCATCCTGTGGCCTTTATGATCAAAATAACATTATGTTTTGGCTCAGTCAACCTACCGATTGATTTGCTCTGAAATAAACTGCGCATCTATTTTTGCGTCAGTTTATAACGTTTGATTATTGGAATAATAATTTTCATCTGCCTACAACCATTCCGCATTCTTACATGTCTTTTATAATATATGTATATGTGGAAAGGGTCCTGTCGCTTCTATAAGAATAGCATTATAACATTGTACTTACGCAACCTGACCCCAAAACAAGACCGATTCAGTATGCTCATAGAGGCAACGCTTGAAGCACAGTTGACTATGACGTCAACAGTATGGATACGTCTCTCTCATATGCTTCTTTATTTATATACCTGCATATATATTTCAGACAAACAACTTCATAACAGCAACTAAATATAACCCTGTTTCCTACAGGTATAGTAAAACTGATAAATAAAGTGCCATTTTGGTATTGGAAACGAAACACGATCATGCATGTGAAGCCTAATGGGTCCTTTGTCAGTGAGTTTGACATGCTATCCATTGTAACCTTCAGTCGCCAGATATAAAAGCAGAAACATGAAATGCTGTCTCAATGGAATAGTGTTTATGTAATACCATATAAAGACATGCAAGAATCAGGACTGCTTGTAGGCAGATGAAAACCAGTCATTATTCCAATAACAAAACGTTATAAACGGACACAAAATAGATGCGCAGTTTATTTGAGAGAAAATCAATCGGTAGGTTGACTGAGCCAAAACATAATGTTATTTTCATCATCAAGGCCACAGGATGGCCACAAAATCTGCAATTAATGCATTGCTTCTGACAGTTTATGTTGCACTTCTCAACTGTGACCATCCGATATTGAAGAGGATGTGATAACCCTTGAATAGCTCGTCGCTGTTACTGATGGATCCTACGTTCACACATAAAGCAGTCATTTGCAATATATGAAGCGTTTGATCTGACCAGTAATTACATTCCTTTCAGTTTCCTTGAACAGAGTGAATATGTTGCATTAGGGCACGTAAACAGTGATTAATCTGTGGACGAGCAATCCGATTGAGATTATAGAAATAATAATAATAATAATATGTTTTAGCCTCTTCCAAAATCAACTTCTTGTACAGAAAATGATTTTGGAAGAGGCTAAAACATATCACCGCAACCTCTCCATGTGCTGGATTGACTACAAAAAAGCATACGACTCTGTCCCTCACGAATGGATTCTGAAGTCTCTTCGTTGTATTGACCTCCCAGAGCGACTACTTGGTTTACTCAAGTCTTTAATGAGTTGCTGGTCGACTCAACTTGAGCTGTACTCGCAAGAGCAGGTGCAGACTTCGGAATCTATTCCAATCAGAAGGGGGAATTTTCCAGGGGAACTCCTTCAGTCCTTTGCTTTTTTGTTTGTCTCTAAATCCTTTGAGCTTTCTGCTCAATAGGGAGGAGGGTTACCATCCCGGACCTCCTCAGCACAGATCCCCAACACCGCTTACTCATCTCCTTTATATGGATGACATTGAGCTCCTTGCCGAAGGAGAAACCAATTTGAAAGAACAGGTTCTCCTTGTCGAGTCCTTTTCTAATGATATTGGCATGACATTTGGACTGGACAAATGTAATACTCTTCATTTGAAACGTGGCAAGGTAACTGATGATGGATCGGTCAGGTTACAAGGGGAAGGAGTTATTGAGCATCTTGTGGAAGATCAGGCCTACACCTATCTTGGAATGCAAGTTCGAGACAAGCTCCAGAATGCCCAGATTCAAGACAAACTTCGGGCCGAGTACAAATCTCGCTTAAAGAAAATCTGGAGCTCTGAGCTAAATGCTCGAAACAAGGTGAAAGCCACCAATACTTTTGCTGTGCGAGTCCTTTCCTATTCCTTTGGAGAAGTTGATTGGACAAAACAAGACATCCAAAGTCTTCACCGCCTGACCAGAAGGATCATGTCTGATAACAGAGCCCACCACCCTCGTTCCTCCCTTAATCGTTTATATATGCCAATCAATTCTGGAGGTCGGGGTTTGATCAATGTGGAGGCTCTTCATGATAGAATGTTATTGTGTACTTTTGCACATATTTATTTATCGGATGATCCTCTGGTGATGCATGTCAAGACTCATGATGAAAGCAAGGAATTCCACAGCTATTTTAAGCGTGCCAAGGTTGTTGGACAAAATCTGAAATTTGAGGTTGATTTTGTTGATGGCGTTGTACTGCTAGACGGTACAACGAACTGTTATTTATAATTGATTGGTTATCATAAGAATTGTGAGTTCGTATTAATCGCATAAAACAACAATGTCAACAGTTTTATATATTTATGCCGATGCAAGAGTCATCATTACTCAATTTCTGAGACATGGCGAACGCACAGCTACAGTACTTCCACCCTTGCCGACTCATCGCACACATTTAAAGTGAAATATAGTATAAAATGATACGATGATTAGCATGTTAGATGATACTTTGTACATTTTGCAAATAATGACTTAATGAATACATATGTATGAAGAAAATGAACATGAACGTATTGTGGTTGTCGCCTTCCTCTGGGATTGAGGTTCTTGTATAAACACCCGAACCCATTGTTCCAAATGTCCATCCTTTTCGCACGAAGGCGAAACGAAAAACGGCCCATGTTTATACACGCCCGAAAAAGTCGCCTTCCTGCGAGTGAGCCTACTGTACGTGTCTTTGGTTGACGGAGACGGAATTCAGATTCTGATCTGAGTGACCTGGCTGGATGATATGGCACAACAAGTTCCTGAAGATAGTTTGGGGCCAATCCATTGGAGACATTTATAAGCATACATCAGGATCTTATACTGGCATCTCTGTTTGACTGGGAGCCAGTGTAGCTTTTCTCTCACAGGCGTAATCTCCTCACGTCGGCCAGTTTTGGTAATGAGCCGCACAGTTCTGCACCTTCTGTAGACGACTGGTGAGAGTTTCAGGTAGTCCACGGATAAGACAATTTCCATAATCCAGTCTAGATGTTACTAAAGCGTGTACTAGAGTCTTACAACAGTCTTCTGTGATGTATCTGCGTATGGCTGATATACTTCTGATCTGGAAGTAGCATGACTTGGCGATGGCATTGACTTGTCTCTCCATTGTCAGTTTGTGGTCGAAGTGAACACCAAGGTTCTTCACTGTATCAGCTGATTTAACAGAGCTGTCTCCAACTTGTACTTGCATGTCACTGGTGTCAACTTTAGGGTTCTTGGAACTGACAATAATAAATTCAGTTTTTTCCTGATTGACTTTAAGCATATTGTTGCTTGTCCAGTCGATGACTTCTGACACACAGGCCTCCAATGCTTTCGAAGTGGGCGTCCAAGAAATCCCAGGTTGAACCACTCTGTACATCTGCTGATCATATAGGAGAGATCATGGTGTTGGCAGATGTTGCTCATCGGCTTTGAATACAGGCAGTACAAAACAGGCCCCAAAACCGAACCCCGGGGTACACCGAAATGAATATCCGCACACTCAGACACTGTAGATCTTATTGCCACACTCTGTGTTCTGTTTAACATATAGGACTGAACCCATGATAGGGCTTCTCCGGACACACCATAGCTGTACTGTAGTCTTTGTAATAGTATGTCGTGATCTTTGAGATCAAATGCTGCTGACTGATCAATAAACGCATTGCAACTGCATGACCAGACCTATAGGCAGACTGAAATTTGTCCTGGACGTTATTGACATGAAGATGCTGAAATAAGGGAGAAAACACAACCTTCTCTAAGATTTTGGAGATAAAGCACAAATTGGAGACAGTTCTATAATGCTTCATCACCCCCTTGTCCAGGCCAGGTTTCTTTAGCAATGGTCTCACCAAGGCTTGCTTGAAACACTGTGGGACACGTGACTCCTTGAGGGGACATGTTGACAATGGCCGTGATCAATGGCAGCACCTTGTCCAAGCACAGCTTCAGTAGGTAAGTCGGAACTGGGTCAAATTCACATGATTTGGAGGGAGCTTTCATGACGATTTGGCGAATTTCTGATTCAGTAGTAGGTGAGAAATCAGACAGACATTCTCATTGGAATTCAACATCGGCACTCAAGGTAGAAAGATTTGAAGAATCAGACTGAACACTGTTCCTGATAGTTTCCACTTTGTCAGTAAAGAAGTCCTTGAACTTATCGGCCAGTATCTTGTCAGATGAGCAACTAGGCAGGATAACTTCACCGGAGTGTCCTATCAACGTTTTGCTGACTTTGAAAAATTGTTTATGGTCAGAGCCAAATTCGATTATCTTATTGCAAAAGTACTCACTCTTGGTCTTTACAAGCAGATTGTGATGTGACTGACACATACTCCTAAACAATTGATGGTGTACAAGAAGCTTAGACCTCTGCCAGAGTCTCTCTGCTTTACGTCGCTGGTGCTTAAGTTCGCGGAGCTCATCAATATACCATGGAGAGTGAGGCATCAGTGTTATGACCTTCGTCTTTGTGGGAGCATGTTTATCAATCAGAGTTTGAAATCCGCTGTTGTAGGCACTCAGAAGTTCATCCAGTGAACCATTTGTGAGCTGTAGGGATTCACTGGATTCCACATCCTTGATAAACTCCTGGATATAGGATCACGAAACCGAATCATGATTTTCTTTTTTTAGATCTTTATCTTCAAACTAATTTTATTTTGTCAAACCAGAAATAGTCATTGAATATGAAATGAATGATGCAACTGGTGACCTAAATATTTCTGGGATACATTCGAATTTATGGTACATTTAAGAATCGAAGATGGACATAACATTTTAACACTTTGCCTTTCTGAGATTAATAAACTGCTCAATAATATAAACTCTATTGCATTAGGGAAGAGGGGCTTGGCACTACGTCGACAGTCTTCGGACACCTGGTAAATTTCACGATGTTTGCCCGACTGTGTGGGCCGTTACTTACAATATCTAGGTCTGCTCGCATGAAGGCGTTCGTTTTTATCTTGTGAAAGAATTGCGTTACAGTCGCCTTCCTGCGTGTTTCTCTTTATGTTTCATTCTCTTTAATACCCGTGAAGATCCGGGTTAGGTTTGATCTTCAGTAATCCATGCTTGTCGTAAGAGGCGACTAACGGGGTGGGATGGTCAGGCTCTCTAACTTGGTTGTCATCGTATCCAAATTGCGCAGATCGATGCTCATGCTGTTGATCACTGGATTGTCTGGTCCAGACTCGATTATTTACAGACCGCCGCCATATGGCTGGAATATTGCTGAGTGCGGCATAAAACTAAACTCACTCACTAAAACAAACCACCAACACACAAATATTTGCCAAATCTGGGCTTAGGCTAATAGTCTATATGCCATAATGCATTACAGTTTTAGAGAGTCTGCCTCAATCCTCTTTCAGCCTCTGGCGATAACCATGTGGTCGGCAGCTAATGACGTTGACGCCTAGGTTTCAATTTCATGTCTCAGACTCGTTTAATGGGCGAAGGGTCTGGGCTCATTGCTCAAAGGGTGTTGTGCTGCTGGAGGTCAGAATTAACGATTCGTGCACTTCGAGCATGGGCGCAGTCGTCCTGAAAATGTGGACTCAAACACTTTGCAAACGGGACAACAAAGGCTGACAATATGTTAGCTGTACTCATAGTACTGTCCAGATACCGTTCCCTGTACAATTTGGAGCGACGTTCGCTCAGCCAAAGTAATGCAACCCCGCAACATAACCTTTCCACCGCCAATTCTGTTAAATGTGTTCTAAGGCTGTACGCTGAGGTGTTCACTTCGTGGCTTGACGATCACCATTCAACAGGGCAGTTTTTTACGTCGCTGTACACTATTCATTGTCTTCAAACATGCCCATTTAGCACAACGATGAGCTGCATGAGAGATGAACATAGAGATTTTTTCTGGGTTACATCTTCTTTTTATTCTCGAGTACAACTATATCACCAATGTAGATGTCACCACAGTCACATTTCAGTTTATACACACAGCCTTTAGGGTTGGATATAGCGTGATTGCACCCCTTACCATTTGCACGTAGCAAAGTTTTAAGGGTTTTGCCAGATGAGAAAGTGGTGTCAATGCTGGCCATTTTCTTTAGGAGTCCGCTGACTTGGTGGCTGATGGGCCCAACATACGGGATGTTGATGCGGATGGGAGATGGTTCACATCTACATTGGTGAGACAGGCAGACCAGTAGCTACACGTGTGAAAGAGCACAAAACTTCAGTGGACAAATCAGATCTAAAATCTGCAGTTTCTGAACACATTATGAATAATCCCGATCATGAAATTGACTGGGAAACTGAAGTCCTCTCAAAAAACATCAGTGCCTGGCGTAAACGCAAGTTGATTGAAGCTATCTTCATCAAACGCACAAAACCAGCAATAAACAGGGACCAGGGTGTCTACCTCACAAATGCATGGTACATAAAACAATAAGACAATACCCTACCCTCGTCACTGTTCCCGTGTATAAAGCATAATTTCTATGTATACACTGCTATTACTTTACATTCTATACATTTATAAATACGTCTCTGTACATTTCTAATTCAATCAACAATTTTGTATGAGCCATGTCATCTGTATCTATTGACCACCACATGTATTGCGTCGTCATAGCATTGTGACGTCATAAGCATTGTGACGTCACGGCCAGAGTTAACAGTTACTGTTCAGTTTACCTGATGATGGGGCCAGAACAAGCCCTGAAAAGTTGTACTCGAGAATAAAAAGAAGATGTAACCCAGAAACAATCTCTATGTTCATCAAATATCATCTTCTAAAATGCCAATCAAGCATCTGCATGAGAGATGTCTAATCTCTGACCAGTTACTCATACTCCTCCCATAGTCTGATGGAATCTTGCAGCAAGCCGCGGTTTGATATGGTACGCCGTTACGGGGTGTGTCGAAAGTGTGTTGGTTTTGTTTGTACCATTTCTTTAGCCTGTTTATCCTTTGCTGTGAAACTGTTATGTTATGAATGCATGTATAAGAATCTATTCCAAACTAGATTAAAGAATAGATTATAGAAGTCTTCCATCAATAGCTGCCTTTGTTGTTATTCATCAACTTCTAACAAGCTTATAGTTCAGAGTCTTACAGACATTTCAATACAAATACAATTATGCTGAGTGATTATTTTCAAGTAAAAGATAGAAATAACTAAAGATTTCTGAAGGGACAGTTCTGCCTGAAATGTTTGAAACAATGATTGTGCTAGGTCTTTTAAATAAAATAATTGCGCCAGATATTCCTGTACAAACAAAGTCTGCCAGATTCCGGGGCTTCTCCATTGGATGTGTTCGTGTAACTCGACTCTTTCTGTTCGATCTGCAGGACGTTCAATTCAGTGTATGCTACCCTGTCTTTGCAGTTGCTGGAACGTCCGATATGAAAGGAATGCTGTGGCCGGCCAAGTATTAATTGTACTCAATCCCTTATACCCCGACATTTTTTCGCCAGGTAAAACAAACATCTCAGTCCAATTACCACTGGCGATGATTACTAGCAGTAACAATAACTGTAACCTGAGCTGTCTGTCTTTGCGACCAGTTGAGTATTGTTTCTCAATAAGAACACGCACAGGTGCTTCTGACTCCAGTTAACCAAGAGTCTGAAAGGTTGCCATATTAGTAAATGTAGCTTGCGGATTGAATGTTGTGTGTGCGTGTTGTATGACAGAAATAAGTGTGAGTGATTGACACTGGTAAGTGCGTGGGCACTATATCACCTCATTTGACTGTCTACAGCAAATGAGACAAAGAGACTCCCTTTCTCTGAAGCTCGACATTTGCGTGTACCATTTCCACACCTAATCAGTCGGTGCCTGTTTCACATTTTAAGGATGGCACTGATGGCCTAGTCATCTGAGGTACTGTAATTTGCTGTGTATGGTTGTGTTCATTGGCCTACCAGACACCTGTGATTGTGGGTTCGAATCCTAATAATGTATGCTCTTCTGTTTCAAAAATGTAGTAAACGTCTGACACCTCACGGTCGACGTTTGTGCCAATTTTAACAGACACGTCAGAATATAGGTGAAATATTGTTCAATGAGGCGCTCAGTTGTGTGTTTGTGAAAGTAACTTTGTGCCGATGCATTTAACGGGGACAAAATTGGCCAAACACACAATATCTTGACTATTTGGTAGTTACTCATGAACACATGTTCATGATTAAGTCGGAATCATGCACTGGACTCTGGGTTAAGTACAGATGTTTTACGTTTGTTTATAAATATGTATTTTTATTTGTTTATCAAATGTATTTGTATCTCAAAGCTTCAGTGACTGCTGGCATGAATCAAGGAAGACAGAAATCTCAGAGACTCTCAGGTTCAAGGTAACCGCCTCTGTGTTCATGGCATCCGTAAAGTTTCCTTCATTGCAGTAGAACGCCGCACGGTGTCACAAAATAAATTATCGGAACGGTGTGTTCAACCAAAATGTGAACATGAAGTTGCATTTAATATGCTGAAGTTTGTCACCAAATAGAATCCCTTCGTCTAAAATCGTCTAAAATTTAGGCATATTTTGCTGAATCGATGTGTGCTGAAGTCATCATTCATCTGTCAAATCACCATCCAAGATCGTTCCACATACACAGTGGAAAGCTTCTCCACTCTCGACATATATGTGCTAACCCAAAGGAAATCAATATCATCCCACTAATACGATGTATCATAAGGAAATACACAGACCTTTCTGTTGGACATCCCATAGGGCCAGTTAGTGACACCAACGTCTTACATGTTGTTAGTCAATACATATCATCTACAATCATCCATCAACAACTGGGGATATGTATGGCGACGCTTGAGTCAGAATGTAATCATGACTTTCTAAAGGATTACCCTGGGCATTGGTGGTCGTTCGAACAAAAAAAACCTTGTCTGATGATGATATATGTGTTTGCACGAGAGCATTCCAAACCGCCTGGGGCTATATCGGCAGACTACACCGTCCAGACGATATAATCTATGGTCGAATGAGACGTTGAATGGATGACGTCATCACTTTACGGACGTAGCCTACTTCGTCCTTGTCTGGCTTTAACGCAGTTTACACGACCGTCTTGAATCATAACTTGACGGATGACTGTTCCTGGAAGGCTTTTGTGTGTGTGCGTGCGTGCGAGAGCATGTGTTTGCGTGCCAGGTATGTGGGAGCATCTGTGTATGTGTATGCGTATATGAGTGAGTGCGTGTTTGCGAGGGCGGGCGTGTGTGTGTGTGTGTGTGTGTGTGTGTGTGTGTGTGTGTGTGTGTGTGTGTGTGTGTGTGTGTGTGTGTGTGTGTGTGTGTGTGTGTGTGTGTTCGATGGCCTGTTAGTTAAGACTGAATCCGACACATCGCAGTGCAACCTCGCGCGTCCATTCAAGGTCCGCTTGAACACAGTATAGAAAGAACAAGTCAAAGATCATCCGTAAAACCCCATTGCTGAGACCACGCTTCATTGTCACTGGTTCCTGACAGCGGTGACTTATCTTGGACGTCTACACACCTGCAGGAACTTGCAAGACATCTAGTGTTTGCAGCAGATCATGTGTAGGATCCAGGATCAGAAATTGTCGACTAAAATGGTGATTAGGTTTACAGAGTCGGAGACTGGACGCAATGCGAGTCATTGTACTAAGACAGAAATGCACATAGAGCATGTCACATGTTCCGATCCTGGATCCTATACATGTTCTGAAGTGAGGGTTAGTTTTCTGGTTGGGTTGCGTGTTTATGTGTTCTTTCAATCTGTTGCCCTAGATCACGATTTCTGACATGTCATTGTTCATCCTGATTCCCTAAACGTCAGATAACGCTTTGTCATACATTTGAAGACGTATTGGAAGTGAAGATACTGCAAATCGCAAAATTGCCATAAGACGTCTTGAAGCAGAAGCGTCCCAGTCAGTCCCAGTTGCGCGAGGTTTCAACGACTCCAGAGCAGCATTGTTCAGTTTATGGGACTGGTTTATCCTCATCAACATCGTCCTATGAGTGGTGGACTAAGAGCCACCGCCCCAGCAGATGGTATTGTTTCATCCGGGTCTTTAATGTACGTTATCGGCATGCTACTGTCACCGAGGCTGAGAGGTCTGTTGGAGGAGGAGAGTATGGAACTAAAAAATCAGGAATCCAGAGGCGGGAATTAAGCTCAGAAGACCACTGAGACGTTTGCATCGACGACTGCAGTTGAGCAACACACTACAGGCATGAACTGGCGGCGAGTGTTGGGTCGCAATTTTTTCCCCACGCCGAGATGGAAGACTATGCCTCCACCGAGGTCGAGATGAACGTTTCGCGCCTGACTGTATTCAACAGGACAGAAGTGTGATGGTGAATGGTGTCATATCCTACACACGGATATCTGAGTTGAGGGAAATCTGACAGCAAATCGGTACATCGACAAAATTCTTCAAAGTCACCTTCTTCTGCACTTACCGAAGACTTTGTGATAAAATCTGCATGTCCGTTTTTGCCATAGTATTTTGTACTGTCAGTCAGACGGTCATTTCAGATTATGTTAATATTATAATCTGCAAATAGCAAACTGAATCAGACAGGATATGCAAGTCATTTATCTGTACCATGTCGTGGAAAATGTGTAGTCTAGACAGTTCGCCGCCATGCTCCAGAGCGGTTACAGCCATAACAGTCAGCAAGTCCAACGATATGCTGGAGTTGTGTGTGAAGGGATCGGCTTTCTCCGACACTCCATGCACGTAAACACCCCAGCTTAATCCCATGGAGTTATGTCCCTTATAGACGTTTACTTCCGTGTTTATGAGTACGGTGGGCAGTATTTTCTCAAAGATTCCTTAAACAAACCTATTGTCTTCCTGAGCATCTTCACATGAAAAGAGCATGTTTACCTATGTTTGTACCATCCACGGACAGTGGAACGTTTTCTGGGGTTAAAGATGGGAAGTGTTAAACTAATTCAGGCAAACATCAGTGGTGAAAATTAGTGATTCATGGTAAATAAGCGTGACGACTGTCGACTACATAAGTTAACATTATATGGTTTTATCGTTAGCTGAATGAAAAAAACCCGAACAGATCTTATTAACATCTGAAATAAATATAATTATATAAATTGTATGTGTAATTGGGTTTGATTTTTAGGACTTCGTGTACATAAATATGTATTGATCAACGTAGAATGTTCTGTATATATATTAACGTTTACAGTTGCAGCTGACACACCCTACATCCAACACAGAGCCATGCAGTGTATTGATCGGTGGAAATATGTTGTTGGAGTCTAGTGCTGATCTGAAACACATTATAAAAAAGTTATTTAGAAAAATGAAAGAAATATTTTATAGAAAAATGTCAAAAAGGCTTATTTGTGTAGCTAAAATACTATATTTGGTCGTAAAAATTATCACTCATCACACCCACTCGGTCACCCTGGGTCTAGATTTTCGAAACTCTCTTAGCGCTAAGACAGTCGTAAGTTAATGTTAATGTATGGCACTTACGACTATCGTAGCGCTAAGAGAGCTTCGAAAATCTAGGCCCTCGGCACAGACTTTCGAAGCACTCTTAGCGCTAAGATTGTCGTAAGTGCCATATATTAACATTATCTTACGACTATCGTAGCGCTAAGAGAGCTTCGAAAATCTAGGCCTTGGCCTGTAAGCATGTGAACATTACCATTATCAGTGTGCAGCTATAGCTTTGACAACGCGTTGGTTGAATTGGTTACTGTCACGTAAGGTGAAATTAGGATTATTTACATATGTCAGGGGTCTGTGTAAGGTCCTCGTTACAAAATGAAACCAGTGGCGTTTGTTTAACACGTATGATATGCATCCCCTGAAGGCGCTGTATATTGAAAGCTTTCGCACAATTTACATTTGCCAGAGGGGCACACGAAGTACGTGGTCATGACTACCAGTTGTCAGACTTCCATTTTGTGGAAGCAGCTGTGGCTGAGTGGGATAGATCGTTGACTTCTTGTATTGGCGGGGCGGTGGGGTAGCCTAGCGGTTAAAGCGTTGGCTCGTCACGCCGAAGACCCGGTTTCGAATCCCTACATGGGTACAATGTGTGAAGCCCATTTCTGGTGTCCCCCGCCGTGATGTTGCTGGAATATTGCTAAAAGCGGCGTAAAACTAAACTCAGTCAGTCAGTCAGTCTTGTGTTGGCGATTTGTTTTCTCGTTCTATGAGTTTGGGTTCGAATCCCGGATGGAATTCAACCCCAATTATCTAAATTTGTACCTACTTAGAGGTGTAAAGTAGAATATCACATGTTCCGGACAATTCAGCGTCTGAATGAAATCTTGTAATCTATATTCCTAACTGTGTCTAAATTCCTAACTGTGTCAACGCTTGTCGTAAGGGGCGACTAACGGGATCGGGTGGTCAGGTTCCCTGACTTGGTTGACACATGTCATCGGTGCCAATTGCGTAGATCGATGCTCATGCTGTTGATCACTGGACTGTCTGGTCCAGACTCGATTGTTTACAGACCGCTGCCATATGGCTGGAATATTGCTGAGTGCGGCGTAAAACTCAACTCACTCACCCACTCACTCCTAACTGTGTCTTTACTGTTGGACAGGTAAAAATGTACGAAGCACATCTATTGGTTTGGCCATGACCTACATGGCAACGTAGATATCTATTCTTATCATCGACGTCTGACATTGCATTTGTGTCGCGAACATTTGTGTTGTGTGCTCTCATTACAACACACTACACTGTACTGGCAAACAACCGATTAACGGCTCGAATTTCGTTCGTCATGTCCGTAAGTAGATCGTTTAAATACCATGTTGCAAAGTGTTTACCTTGAAGGCTGATGCCATCAACTCTATGATATATTCTGTTCTTAACGGTAAATCCTAAAAGCTGTCGCATGTAAGTATGTCAGACAGCAAACTTCTCCCACTGACCTAGGTCAAGTGTCCAGACATTTTGCGGGTTATCGGTTCTGTTCTTACTGTTGTCATCTCACGTTTCTCTGGGATTAGTCCTGAGCCTTCTCACGTTGTTAGTACAAATACACATGATCACAGAGATTCGCATATCACGAACACAGCTGGACATTTCCGTTTTCAACAACATAAAAAATGGCATCTGAATGTTCTTTAACAACCTTTATGTGGGTACTTTTCTGTAACATGAACACACGTTCCCTCTGATTTATATGCTTCGTGGCATCAGTGTAATTTAGGGGCGGTGGGGTAGCCTAATGGTTAAAGCGTTGGCTCGTCACGCCGAAGACCCGGGTTCGAATCCCCACATGGGAACAATGTGTGAAGCCCATTTCTGGTGTCCCCCGCCGTGATGTTGCTGGAATATTGCTAAAAGCGGCGTAAAACAAAACTCACTCAGTCAGTCAGTCAGTGTCATTTAGGCATATTCCATGAGTATTGCGAGATCGGGAACAATGATGTTCACATTTGTATTCTAAAAATATACTTATCCTTTCAGAAACTTCAAGATTTCTGGGTCGAGGGAACAATTGCTGCTCCCCTATCACCGTTTAAAAAAGAACGGGTACTGTACCAAATCTTCATGCTCGCTCATGTCGTGTCTTACATTGATTTACGAGTAGATCCACAGTATGGTCCCCATACATTACACACACAGATCACACAAGAAGTTTACGAACAGCTTAATCATGGTAGACTAACTATTCTTTACTGGATGTACACTAATAATATGCAGGTAGAAAAGAAAACAGTTACAAAGTTTACTTCTTGATAAATCATATTTAGTGTCCCAACAAGATCGACTGAATATGAACACCTCAAATTAATCTATCATAAGAAAACTGGAGCACAACGTACTTCGTTCACATAATACCGACGGGGCATATTCAATTTAGGCAGAGGCAAGGCAGAACCCTTTATAAATACTATCGACCTTGAAACTGAACACTTTGTTCTTTGTTGCATCAAGCTTGAAAAGGTACAAATAGCCAAGCTGTTACTGGTGCGCAATTTCCCTCTGTTATCAGCCAACCACAGCTTGAACATACACAATGATGTTGTGTAGTTGTTGCACAGAAGATGGTTTATCCCTGACAATCTCCATAAACATTCACTGACAATCTCCACAAACATTCACTGACAGTCTCCATATTAAACATTTACTGACAATCTCCACAAACATTCACTGACAGTCTCCACAAACATTCACTGACAGTCTCTACAGACACACAAACATACACATGACATGCATACATGCATGCATACATGCATACATACATACATACATACATACATACATACATACATACATACATACATACATACATACATACATACATACATACATACATACATACATACATACATACATACATACATACATACATACATACATACATACATACATACATACATACATACATACATACATGTGACACCATAGACGTTGGGAACAGACTCGGATTAAACCACACTTTCCAACTGAACACAAGCGAGCGACTTGTTGAAAGATCCTAATTTACGACTTTACTTTTTGTTTAACAGCGATCTCAATCCAGACATATTGGACGAATATGTGGATTTTCTTGTCAACAATAAAATCGATGGGGTTTTCGGTGAGTCATTGTTTCGGCATATCTTGAATTTTAACATTGTAGTGAATTGTAGTGAAACTGCGTGCGTGCGTGTGAGCATAGTTTCATGTAAGTCAGGACGTTACCCATCATATCAAGAAATTGGCTTCACATTTGTGTACCCATGTTGGGAATGTAAGTCTGTCCTATGTATCATGTAACTGAAGTGTTTTACCATCCTTTGTATCGCTGCATCAATGTTGCAGGAAGTGTATCAATTGACTTTAATTTGTTCAAAGCAGTTTCCATATTTTGTACCATACGTGGGATGTCATAAGGTGAACAGTATAATCGCCCTTGCATGTTTGTGACGACTGACAGAGGTGGAGTTGGGGAGGCTGAACACCAGGTATCATCACTGACAGTGATTAATGAGCCCGGTGTATTATATAGTGGGAATACTAAACTGAAGTTAGCAGAATTTAGCATATATTTCTTATGATTAAAGATTGTTGACGCTCTGCTTTTGGTTACAACAAACTGTAAACCCTTGAAAACGAGCACTTTGAAAGCCCAGAACAATAGTTACCAGATCCCAAGTTTTGACATTGAATTGATATTATTTACAAATGGTGCCTGGCAATGAATAGAACTTGAGACGTCATCACTTGGACAGACACATTTTTGACTTAAAGAATGGGTTCAGGACGCGTTCGATGATAACGCTGCCTGCCACATATCCAAAGTTCTGAACACTGATAAGTACTATTACAACGAGTAGCTATGTCACCGTGGCCCAATCGGGTTGATCCTTGCATGTAACCTATACTACCGATTTGTTACTTAAGTATTGCAGTATTGGTATACTATTAGTTTGATTTGGCAGCCATCCTGTAAAATATAACCCTATGTGTGCTCGCGATGATTTGTCAGTCACTTTCCGCTATTGTTTCATTAAATGAAATGAAAATACATTCGTACGTCATGCGGCCTACATTCCATAATTATCAGTAGACATTCACCTCCACATCGATAGTTGAAGGTGAGTATCTTTATTTTAAAGACAGGGCATTTACAGCTCCTCAACAACGGACTAATTCCCACTGCAGTTACATGATATACACAACTGACATGACCACTGTAATCGGCTACACAGGTATTGGGTCAGCCAATATACTCATAGCCCTAGTTTGTCCCTACCACACACGGGTCCCCTACATTGCTCTTCCTCTCAAAGAATCCTGATTCCTAAAACAGTTTCACAGTGAAATACTGAAACATCTGATATTATGCTAGGTACGTGTGTACCTTAGTCCCATGAACGACACGATAATTATTGCGAAATTGCTCGGGTATTTTTTTCAAATCAAATCTGCTACGAGCTTTTACCAGAGTCTCAATACATAATTCATTTATTTGCATGTAAGAAGTTTCTTGGGGTAAAGATGAGCACACCTAATGTAATGATTTATGGTGAGTGTGGCAGGTTTCCTCGGCAAGTTAAAGTACAAATATTGTAATCAAATACTGATTAATCCTAATGTCCTCTAATCGTTTACCAAGGAAATGTTATGAAATGATGATTTTATGATAGAAATGGACACACAAATTGGGCAACGAATGTAAAGAATCTTTTATTTACAACAGGTTTAATCACATGTGGTATGAGCAGTATGTTGAGTCTCCCTCAACGTTTATAAGTTTATTTACGCAAAGATTGAAAGATATATACAAACAAAACTGGCTTGAAAACTTTCCTTTTCTACGAAATGTGATTACTATTCATCTTTTAAACCATACTGAGCATTATCTGTCATGTGTCACGATAAAAAAATAGAGTAAGTTTCAGCACGTTTTTTCGCTGCTCATCACATGATTTGTGGATTGAAAAAGGTAGATTATGAAGATAAAAAGAAAAGCTAGATATGCAATATTAATGTACCATGCAATATGAATGTAATGAATACCATTTTTTGCTCGTATGTCCATTATATGATAAACTACAGAGTAAGTACCTTAAAGAAGTTTATTATGTCCATCCATCTATAGATAAACTGTATTCTTTATTAGACTGCAACAGCCATGATATGAATTAGAATGTTGTTACGTTTATATATCACGCTATGAAACTTAGAAAAGAAACGTCGCCATCGAGCATCGTCTGAATGTCATAACTGTATGAAAAGATCATATAAATATCATATATGAAACTGTTCTATATTGTAATACTAGATATTGTACTATAGGCCTGTGACCTTTGAGTATTGTTTTAAGATTGATTGAGTGTTCTGTATTGCACATTTTACGTCCGATTCAACGAGAAATTGTGTAAACAATGGGTCATCTTCAGGGATTGAAGGTTTAAGTGAATTTTGATTTGTACCTTGAGCAAAGCCTGCTGCATCTAGTTGAGTGGATGAGTGTGTGTGTGTGTGTGTGTGTGTGTGTGTGTGTGTGTGTGTGTGTGTGTGTGTGTGTGTGTGTGTGTGTGTGTGTGTGTGTGTGTGAGTCAGTAAGAGTAATATTGCTAACAACGGCGTAAAACTAGAGTCCCTCACTCACTTATAGCTCCAGGTTTATCTATCAACACTGAAAACTGCAACATTTACATACACGTATAGGCGTAAAGACCATAAAAAAACATGGATACTGGATACACGTCTTTGATAAACGTTCGTTCTTCCACCTTCAATAGTTATTCTCGTAAAACTTCCCTTGTCTACATTTATGAAAAGTGGGCTACTTCGATCACATATGAACCTTGGGCGCGTGGAGAAACAACGCCTGCTGCGCCTAGTTGAGTGAGTGAGTGAGCGAGCCTGGGTTTAAGAAATATTTCAGTTTTTCACCAGAATTGGGCTTCATTCATAGTGTCTGTGTTGGGAATCGAACCCGGTATTTCATTAACGACCGAACGGTTCAACCTCTATGCTACCCCTCCCTTTTGTTTCTTGTTTGATTGCTTATCGAAGCCCCAAGCTGACACAATTAGTCTTACATATTACAGCAAGCATATAATCTGATAATATAATCTAATCAAAACCTTATTATGAGTATTTATCGTGTCTTATTCCATGATGTCATGTTCCTTTAAATGACCAATCAACTTGACAAACGCAAACATGCTTATGTGCAAGTATGGTCATCAGTCAACCCTGATGAGTACCGTTCTTCCTTTCAATGCTTCCAGCCCTCGGCACTATGGGGGAGGGCATGTCCCTGACGGTAGCAGAGAGAAAGCAAGCGGCGGAGTCCTGGGTTCGAGCCTGCAAAAACAAGTCAGTGACCTTCGTGATTCTACATTTGTCTTTTAAACGCTCTGCCACATCTGTAGCTACCTGAAATTGTTCGACTGTATTTGTTAGTCTTTTTTCAATAACTGAAATATAGAAATTGGTGTATGTGAAAATGGAATCCAGGAACAAATAAAACAACACATCAGTGACTGCTGTCATACTCCTTCGCGAATAGCTGCAACATTGCTGATGCGGGTGTTAAGCAATGTTTACTCACTCAGTCACTCACTCACTGATACACGCCTAATTACTGATTGTCTTACTGCAGGCTAAAGTACGTCATAATACAAGTTGGCACGGGGGATCTACGATCGAGCAAGGAACTGGTAAGTTTTCGCCCATTGTATATGCATCTATCTATCTATCTATCTATCTATCTATCTATCTATCTATCTATCTATCTAAATATGAAAATATTACATGAAAACGACGCGGTATAGTTCCTCGTCCGTGGTGTGTTCAGAAAGCTTAGAGAACTCTTCACGAGTCTCTAATTTGCATCTTACATGGAGTAATGTTTTTGTTGCATGTTGTTAGTGTTAGCACAGTATTTAAGTTTTATTGCTATGAAATTAAGTAAAATGGATACAGAAATATTGAATCTCCTTATTCCATCACTATTCATATCACGCTCCATATAATTTCTTTCGGTAACATTTGCCTTCAGCAACCCTTAAATGTCGTGAGTTGATTCCAGTAGGATCGAATGATCAGGTTCGCTAACATGGTTGATGCATGTCATCGTATCACAGTTGCATAGATAGATGTCAATCTGTAAACTGTTCCTTTGACAGGCCCAGCACTGCCAGCAGATTGGTGCTACCGCTATTGCATGTTTAGCCCCATCGTACACGAAGCCAACCTCTGTTGGTAAGACCTGCTTTCACATGAACCCCACCCGCCTCTACCCATTATAACTTTCTCCGTACAACGGTGCTGGAATATAAGTTTCAGATAAGACATTCTAATTGTTTGTCACTTTAACATTGTTGGTGTACAAACGTTGGCCTGTAAGTGTACATGTAAGTACTTTATGTGCGTGGACGCACAATCTAACTCCATACAGAATACATCCAAGATGCGAGATGCGCCGTCCACTTTATTCTGTTAGCATTCACTCGTTTCACATGTTTAAAAGTATTTACGTGTAGCAGATGCTACAGTCGCTTCAAACATGTTCATGTGCTAAACTCTATTCTTATCACATTATTCTGATAGCATTCACTCGTTTCACATGTTTAAAAGTATTTACGTGTAGCAGATGCTACACTCGCTTCAAACATGTATCATGTGCTAAACTCTATGCTTAGTGCCCACATGTTTCCGGTTCTCTGATCACGTGCATGTATTGTAAAATCCACCATGTCATGTCTTCACGTGTTTCAGATTCTTTGTTTATGTGCAAGTATGCACGCGTTTCAGATTCTCTGTTTACGTACATGTATTCACACGTTTCAGATTCTCCGTTTACGTACATGTATTCACATGTCTCAGATTCTCCGTTTATGTGCATGTATTCACGTGTTTCAGATTCTCTGTTTATGTGCATGTATTCACGTGTTACAGATGCTCTGTTTATGTGCATGTATTCACGTGTTACAGATGCTCTGTTTATGTGCATGTATTCACGTGTGTTTCAGATGCTCTGTTTATGTGCATGTATTCACATGTTACAGATGCTCTGTTTATGTTCATGTATTCACGTGTGTTTCAGATGCTGTGGTTGACTACATGGAGCAAGTAGCTGCAGCTGCACCTGACCTTCCATTCTATCTCTATGATATCAACTTTATGACCGGAATATACCGTAAATACACCGACATAATTTATGATACTAGTCATGAGAATGCTCAGTAGGGCAGTGTGGTAGCCTAGTGGTTAAAGCGTTCGCTCGTCGTGATATTGCTTGAATATTGTTAAAGGCGGCGTAAAACCATACTCACTCACTCTAATTTCCGTAAGAATCATAAGTACCTGATTTAAAATGATCTCACTAAACACGTCCGAACCTGCATGAATTCAGCAACAGAATTTGTTTCCAGTGGACAGTGACGAGTTCCTTGAGAAAGCAGGCAGTCGGATTCCCAATCTAAGAGGACTAAAATATTCTTGTAAGGAGTTACCAAAATTACTGGACTGTAAAACTTGCTGCGGCGGAAAGTACCAAGTGATGCTGGGCTCCGATGAGGTAAACACGTGATTGATTGAGTGAGTGAGTGAGTGTTTTACGCCGCACTCAGCAATATTCCAGCTATATCGCGGCGGTCTGTAAATATTCGAGTTTAGACCAGACAATCCAGTGATCAACAGCATGAGCATCGATCTGCGCAATTGGGAACCGATGGCATGTGTCAACCACGTCAGCGAGCCTGACCACCCGATCCCGTCAGTCGCCTCTTACGACAAGCATTGGTTACTGAAGATCAATATCCTAACCCGGACTTTCACGGGTCTGTGAGAGAGAGAGAGAGAGAGAGAGAGAGAGAGAGAGAGAGAGAGAGAGAGAGAGAGAGAGAGAGAGAGAGAGAGAGAGAGAGAGAGAGAGAGAGAGAGAGAGAGAGAGAGAGAGAGAGAGAGAGAGACTGCCAATGCAACGTAAAACAATATTTTAACTTTCGCCCATTACGTACACATCTAAGTGGTCGCTCCTTTGGTATATGTTATAGCAACTCCTCACAGCGCTGTCTATTGGTGTAAACGTTCCTGTCCTGAACGGCTTCGTTGGGCCTACATTTGACAAACTCCGTACCGCGTTTCGGAAAGGAGATATGGACGAGGCTCAACGGCAACAGGTTTGGAATTATCCCTGACACTGCTTGGTCATAATTTGGAACACTGAACATTTTATTTTATTATTCATAATGAATGTGCTAGTGTATGACATATTAGATGGAAATATGATATTACCTTCAAAGTTGGATTAATAGACTAAGTGTTCTCTGTCAATTTGGGTACAAATACTTTTGATCAATAAATATTCATTACTTTTCACACAAAAAATGGACAAGGGGCTTCCGTTTGCTTCACACGTTTAGAGAACTTCAATGCAAATCCTTCTGACACACATTTAATGATACTGACATTTTATAGAGAGACAATATAATCCGCCAACATCACTTTCAACAAAAAGTATTGTATTTCTACTTCCACGGGGCCATGTGTTTATAAAGGCCGATTGACCTGAATAACCTTCCGGTAACACATGATCAAGCTTTTGTTTGGGCTTCAGTTCAAAACACATCTCTAGTGCACTTGTTATGGGAGCTGTCTAAATGGGGATTTGGTGGCAGGTTCTGTGTTCATTGTGGGTCATTCTTCCGGTCGTCATTATTCTATTTAGCTACAGCACCAGTTACATTTTTTATGTAGAATTGATTTTTTCCAAAAAGAAACTGTAACATACCTCATTACTAATGGTAACTGTTTCTGATGTACTTTATATTTTCTTTCGACCCTCGTAATAACTATTCGTCAACTGATTTTGAACAGAATTTAGAACAAAACGTGCGTTTTAGCATAACAAAATGAGAAGTCTGTCAGGAATGTTTTGTTTCAATATTGCAGAAATCGTTAAAGAAATAACAAATGTGCATTTTTATTTGAATGTAATTTCTAATAAAAGGTATATTTAGGTTCTTGTAAAACTGACATATGTGAGTAAATGCCCACGTCTATCTCTTTGTTTTGTAGTATGCATGACAACGTTTTTATTCGCTTAGAAGTCAATATGTTAACGATATGAAAACCGTTGGTGTTTCAGAGGATTGCAAGGCAGATTGTAGTGATAACTGCAAAACATGGTAAGTGTCCACAAAATCCCGTGTCTAACACAGAGAGTTATACCTGCTAATCTATCATGAATAATTGTAACCTTGCAAGCACTATTAATTGGTAATCCATCTATCTTGTGTTTAAGGAGGCGGGATTCCTGCTGTAAAAAGCATAATGGAACTGCTGGGATTGGATCTTGGACCTGTCCGTCTTCCACTTCTACCAATCACAGCACAGCAGAAGGAAGGACTTAAGAGAGATCTGAAAAAACTTGGTCTCCTGTAACTGGAAAATGCACCTTCGATCATACCCAGATATTTTGTCCTTCATATAACCGTAAACTACGTTTATAACGAACTGACGGATATAACGAACTTTGTAATAGTTCCCGACACTTGTATATTTTAGTCGAATTTGTATAAGGAACTACGGTTTTAACGAACTAAAATTAGTGGAACCTTCCAGTTCGTTATTAACGTAGATTACTGTATTATACATGATCATAGTATTTCATACAAACCTAAAACGTACGGCTTTTCGGGCCATAGCTTTTTTGCAGTATTACATAATCTATCCAATGGTATGAGGTAGAGAAATATGAACTGATCGTATTGTTAACATGCTGGTTAAATGCCATGTGTGTTTCATACACTCATCGTCCTCCTCTCCACATTGTCAAAAGCTTTGCCTTATTGAACAGGGAATTCTTGTCTCAAGAACAACTTTCTTCTCATTACCGACGGATCAGGAATAAATCTACAATTATCACAATAATAAATGTTATGCTCTATGATTCCAGGTCACACTGACTTGCCTTTGTTTGTCTCTGGGCAGGATACTCTCTTCGTGGTTATTCATAAGCACATGTGCATGATCTAGTCGGATTTGTGCAACCGAATCTGCTTATGGAAGAGATTTCCTATAACCCTGGAAAAGGTGTTATGCCACATACTTAGTGGTATTGATATGTGATTCCGACATTTCCGAAATAAACGAGGTTCTGCAGGACTTTACTATTTTACTATTCTATTTCTCTTTAAGGTTAGTCATTCTTTTATATCGTAAGCCTGATATTATTGGCATAAACGGTCGGCAAACTGCTTCTTGGTCCAATTGTTCAGCTGTCGTGATCCTGTCTCTAGACACGTGAAGATCCGGGATAGAATTGGTCTTCAGCGCCCATGTTTGTCGTATGAGACGACTGATTGGAGTCCGGTCTTTGACCTGGTTGATGCATGTCATCGTATCGAAGCTCATAGTGTCAATCGCGGATTGTCTAATCGAAATTTACAGAGTTGAGTTGATATTGACTTTACGTCACATCGGCATTATTCCAGCCATATAGTGACGAGATCAAGTCTGCATTCATAAACATTTTAAGTACAAAGTCCAAATGAGTTTTATTTTAAAAGCATATATATTCATTACATTATTATTTAAAAACAGAAATTGTCATGGCACCAAATTCAAAAGCAAGCAATTCGTTATTCACATTATATAGTTACAATTCATGATACAGGTCAACTGCCTTTAGGTAGTTAACAATGAGATGCCCGCTCACGCGGGAAATGAGATCTTTTAGATTTCTCGCATCATGTTGTGAATCCCTTGCAGTTGAAAAGTCCGCACAGTCAAGCAGAACATGCTTGATGGTGAACACCTCTTCGCAAGAGACACACGCGGGAGGTCCATCTCCATCCGTTTTCGGCAGACTGTGGCCAATACGACATAGTCGTAAAAATACCTCATCACGTCTTGACTGACAACCCAAGTAGGTATAACCAATTGTTGGATTTAATTCATGAAGTTTATTTCTTCCTACTTGGGTGTCCCACCTGTTTTGCATAAGGTCTCAAGTATAACTTTTGATAGTGGGTTTGAAGTCCCTGTACGGGATCAGCAGTGGAGATAACGGCTTGTCAAGAGCTGCTTTAGCTGCAGCATTGGCCTTTGTGTTACCTGCTATGACGACATGACCCGGCAACCAGCAGAGGACGATGTCACATTGGCCATTAGAAAGATCGTTGTAAAGTTCTAAAATCTCCAGGATGATAGAGTGACTTGAAGTAACATTTTGAAGTGCTTGAAGGCAAGATAATGAATCTGTAAAAACTATGAAGTTTTTTTGAATGGTTCTGCTGTTTAATATAGCTCAAAGCCGTGAAGATAGCTTTGGCCTCAGCACTGAAAATGGAACTATTCTTGGGAATCTGGTGGAGACAGTCTTGGATCCAATGACTGTAGCACTGGCAACTTGGCCATCATCCTTGATATATATAGCAGGAAATTGCTGAGTACGGCGTTAAACTAGACACAAAAACGAGATCTGAATAAACGGTTGTTTAACACCTCACTCAGCAATATTCCAGCTATATGGCGGCGGTCTTTAAATAATCGAATCTGGACCCGACAATCCTCCAGTGATCAATATATCGTGAGCATGGATCAGAAGGAGACCTCACCAGACCGTAGCTAAAATACTTCGTTCTTCAATCGTTAAACGTTTTGAACATTGGGGGGTTGGGGGTGTTGTCATTCATTTTTAAACATTTAAATAGTATGTATTCATATTAATTGACAGTCGTCCCAAATTCCGCGTTAGCATCGATCTACGCAATTGGGATACAATGACATGTGTCAACCAAGCCAGTGAGGTTGACCACCCGATCTTGTTAGTCGCCTCTTACGACAAGCATGGGTTGCTGAAGATCAATTCTAAATTTACGGGTTTCTGAATAAACGGATCACAACCTTTCTGCTTTCAGGGTTTCATGTATGGGATTGTTGCAACAAAATGTCATATCAACTCATATCAAAGCATTGTGGGGCAGTACGCCTATTTCTGTATTGAGCTAGTTGTATTTGCACTATCAAAACTTTTACTTTAAGTCATTAATAAATTTTATAACTGGTTCCGTGATATAAACGACACATTATGGCAACAGCTACAATTCTGAATTTCGTAAATTGACCATGCATGATCCTTTTGCAAAAGTAAACTCAAAATATGACAAGTAATATAAACTCTGTCAAAAAAGAAACGCAACCCCTGTCCTCAGATATGAAAAATTCGTTTGAATGAAGTTATTGCTTCCAAACTAAATTTTATTCGAATGTATTGAAATGATACACGTAATTAATGAAGATTACCATCCAAACAACTGCATTTGTACGCATAAGTGTATTTTATTGCTTATTCCGTCACAACGCATGAAATGACCCTCATGGTGACTTCGCACAAAAAAAACACATGCAAATCATGAAAATGGCAGTTAATGTAGGGGTGTATAAAAAGCCCATGTGCTTTCGTATTATATTCATTCATTTGTCGCCGAAAAGCTGTGTTAAAATGCCACGATTGAGTGCTGCCGACCGAAATATCGCCATTGGTCGTGTTCAAGCCGGAGAAAGTTTTGGAACTGTTGCACGGCACCTAAATGTTCACAAAACAACGATATCCCGACTTTGGAGCCGCTACAACAACTTCAATTTGACCAACGATCGCCCGAGAAGTGGAAGGCCAAGAATCACGACCCCCTTCAAGATCGGTACATCCGGGTCCATCACCTGCGTAATCGGCATGCCCTACCAACCGTGACTGCCACACAAATACCAGGTTTGAGGAGAGTGTCAGCTCAAACGATTAGGAACCGTCTGAAAGAAGCGGGTTTACGTGCCTGTAGACCAGTTGTTGGACCTGTACTACGCCCCTACATCGACGCCGACGACTCAGGTGGTGCAACAACGTAAGGATACGGACTTTACAAAACTGGAGGCGAATCTGGTTTTCTGATGAATCACGTTTTCTTTGCAACGTCACGACGGAAGACAGCGTCTGTATAGGAGACGTCATATAACGTTTAGCGCCCATCTGCGTCCGACAGGTGGACAGATTTGGCGGAGAAAGCGTTATGGTTTGGGGAACCATCTCATACAACCAGAAATCTGACTTGGTGATCGTTCCAGGAACCTGACAGCCCAACGTTACATCAACCACGTGTTAGAGCTTCACCTTCTCCCGATTATTGACCAACAGACACAGATTTTCAACGGGACAACGCCCGGCCTCATACTGCACGTGCAACAATGAACTTTCTGCAGAATTCCAACGTCAATGTCTTGCCATGACCCTCTAAATCACCAGACCTCAACCCTATTGAACACCTGTGGGATACTCTGGATCGACGCGTACGTCAACGTCAGCCGCCGCCACAGACGCTGCAACAGCTCGCCGTTGCACTGCAGGAGGAGTGGGAGCCATTCCCCAGGAAAGAATCCGGCGTCTTATCCGTTCTTGTCCAAGGAGATGCCGTGCAGTGATTGCAGCGCGTGGTGCTCATACGAGATACTGAGACAGACGCCCCCCTGGTGACAAACTGGTGTCTGTGAGATGACTTTTGAAATGACAATTTTAAACATGCCCATCTGGGTTATTATTCTGCCAAATTTCAGACTTCTGTCTTAAATAATAAAAATGCCGTGTCGTCCTAAAACTTCAGATCAAAATCTCTAAAATACAGGGGTTGCGTTTCTTTTTTGACAGAGTTTATATTCCTGAAACCACACATGATGAATACATGAAGTTGTATAGAGACTGATATTTTAATATATGTGATCAAAGATATCATTGGAATGTATATATTATAAATTCCCTTATTCTTTCTATGATTCTCTCCCCATGTATATTGTTAAAATATTGAACTATCCTTTGCAACGAATTTACGATTACATATCGAATATAGAAGAAAATCTCAATTATGTTCTGATTACATTTCAAACAAGTACAATTTGCTGACCACCATATTCGTCCTCACACCAAGTATATTTCGTTTGATTTCATTTCGGATCTTTGTATTAATGACAAGATCAATCTTTCAAAAACGATGAGCAAGTCAGGGACGTATCGTATAACGTGTATGTATGAGTCAATAACGTAGGATATTTAAATCAATTCTTAAACGTTCGATGCTCCATTGAAGTAATAGAGGAATATGTCAGGTCTTTGCACAGCTGCCACACTTTTGTTACCTGTGAGTTACATGATGCTTAAGAATCCAAATACATGTCACTGCCGCGTCGTATATTACGACGGCCGCTATGCTGAGATGCTTTGTAAGTCGGGCGACAAATGGTAATCAATATTCAACGCCGCAACAAATACATACTGGGGCATAGAATAGAAGGCATGCCATGTGATTTGTGTGCAAAATATGGAAATGGTATTACAACATAGTAGACCTGCTTACAATAACAGTTCACTCATAACCTGCATTGACAACCAATAACACATATTCGATAACGATTTAATAAATGGTATAAACACACTCGTTACAGAATAGTCCACATATCAATGAGTGAGTTTAGTTTTACGCTACAATATCACAGCTATATGGCGGCACATATCACGGAAACTTTGCCTGTGAATAATTTGCAGTTGAGTACTGTGGCAGATGTAACTGAGGGAAGAAAGTATCGAACCGTTCATAAACTGACAGAGACATGCTGGAGATTAACAAACTGCCATGTAACACAATTTATGCAATTTATATGAATTAAAGATAGAGTTCAAAAACTCAACAACCCACGACTATACAAGGCCATATATAGAATGAGAGTCAGTGAGAAAGTATTCCTCATTCCTTTGAATAGAAGGAGTTGTATAGAGTAGAAGGTTGTTTGGCGGGTTTGTTGTTTAACACCGCACCCAGCAGTATTCCAGCTATATAACGGGGATCTATAAATAATCGAGTCTGGAAGAGACAATCCAGTGATCAACATCATGAGCATGGATCAGAGTAGAAGGAAACCACACCTGACTTTTGCTATAATACTTCTTTCTTCTATTCGTTTAACGTTTTGAAGATTAGACCTGGGGGAGCATTCATTTTTCTAAATTTCTAAAATAGTATTTATTTATTTTTATTATATTTCCAATCGTCCGAAATCAAACTGACCATCGCTGTCTGTAACCCTGTAAGATAATAGCGTTTCATACCTTCCATTTTTCT